AAATCAAAAAAAAGAAAACAAGCTTTACTTGAATTTGAGTGCGTGGTGTCAAATTTTACGATGATGTTGCACTTTTGACAACCCTGCAAAGCATTTTAAAAAAGGGCACATTTTTTGCCGAGTGTCTTTATCTTGTAAGATTTTCCTCCACTTTTGGGCGTTTTTGGCAGGGTTGTATATGGCAAAGGAGGGGGCTCTTCGTCACCGTGACACTGGCCGTCACGGCGGCCGCTTTTTTCTTTGCCGAAAATCTACTATTCCATTACTGAGCCACTTTGTGTATTTTTTTGCAAACAGAGCTTGCGTCGTGGCACTCGAGAATCAGCATCTTGCCGAGTGCCCGACATGCGGCACTTTCGGTAAAGAAAATCTTTACCTTGAAGGGATATGCCGACAGCTCTTTATTATTTGCGAGTGCAGTACTGCAATGCACTTATTCGGCAAAGGTTTTTGCCGAGTGCAAAGCCTTCTTTGTCGAGTGCAATTGCACTCGGCAAAGCACGCGTCTGCTGTAGTGATGATGGAGACAATTTTAATTATCGGAACTGTCTTTTTTTTTTTTGCCAAATACTACAGGGGGTTTACAGTGATGAATTTGCTAATGCGTCAAAGCTGGAACGTGGTGTCAAATTTTACGAGACTTCAAGTCCTGATGTTGCTAAGCTTTTTGACATTGACCCTGCAGCAGGAAACAAGGCTCTAATCTTTCTGAACAAAAGGGCGGAGCAGAAGTTCACTTTATAGGGTCCGTGTCTTTATCTTGTATCTGATTTTTCCTCCACTTTTGGGCATGTTTTTGTTTACTGCAGGGTTGTATATGTAATGCAATGTGTGTATCTTGTAGAGGGGTTCTTCCTTGCATATAACATTGCCTATTTTGTGACAACTGCCATCAAGCTTGCTTTGGATAAGACACGAGCACAGGGAACCGCTCCTACTATCTTTGACAATGCCATCAAGAAACAGGCATGTAACCTTGTTTACGATTGGATCTCTTTTTATGCAATTTCAGTATAATCTTTTTTGTCAATCTACTATTCCATTACTGAGCCACTTTGTGTATTTTTTTGCAAACAGAGCTTGGAGGACGGAGGTCAGACCGAGGACCAAATCTCGGCGGATGAGCTAGCTTGAAGGGATAACCTCAATGCTGTCCTGAATCCTATTCTCCATATATATATACAGCATCTAGATGGCTCTGTACTTGTGCCTCCACCTCCTCTAGTCTTCTTTCATTCGTAGAATAAAGCCCTGGAAAATGCATGTTCCCAAGGGCATCCTACCCTTGTGAGATATGGAACCTCATCACCGTCCATTTATTATTTGTTGATGCGCAACATGTATTAAATTGGTTGGGGGATGAAATCATGAAACACTTCCCCAATCTCATTGCTTCAGTACTGCAATGCAGCAATGCCATTATTCAAGCATTGCTATTCAAATTTTATGTTTTTTTCCATGAATGTGCCTTGGAACGATTTCCTTTAAGAGGGTTAGAAAAAATTGTAGCATTCCTTTAAGGTCTTAGAAAAAATTGTTACAATACCTCTTTGGTAATCATACGTGTTACCAGAGGGTTTTACTCCTACCTAACTCAGGCAAAGATAGGATAATTTACAGGAAGGTTTTTTTTTTTTGAAGTGTTATTTACACGAAGGTTTCCTGACCCTGGGTCGTTAGGCTGTAGGCTGGTGTAGTGGATAGTTTAGTAGTCAAGTCAGAATCCAGGCGCGTTTGACAGCTTATCTAGGGTTTGTTGGGAAATCCTCCTCATGAGTGGATCATGGGGAGAGTAATTGCTCCTAGAGAGCCCACATGTCATAGGTGCAGCACAGGAAAGTGGACCAACTTATTATGTACATCTACCATTTGCTTCCTTGGCTTCTAGGAGAAGGGAGACGCATCTAGACAGTAGCCACGATAACCACTCATTCCTCCTCTTCGTGAAGACAAGTGTGTGTGTGTGTGTGTGTCTAGAGAGCCCACATGTCATATATATATATATATATATATATATATATATATATATATATATATATATATATATATATATATATATATATATATATATATATATATATATATATAGAGAGAGAGAGAGAGAGAGAGAGAGAGAGAGAGAGAGAGAGAGAGACTAGCCACTCCTTGTGTGTGAGTGAAACCAGTATTCAGCCTTTCCTCCTTGCGTGTGAGTGGAGGAAAGAAAACCAGAGAAGAAAAGAGAGGTTGAAGGAGGTTAGAGGAGTGATTCATTCTCATGGTTGTGAAGCTTCACATCCACATCATTGGTGCCTCTAATATGAGTCCCACCATCATTTGGTGAGGTCTTTCCACTCCCTAATAGCAGCCCTAAGTCTTACTGTTGCTATCCAGAATATGTAAATCTTGATGTATGGTTGCCTCGAGTGCTAGAGATGAACTTGTAAACCCACAAGCATATAGTGGAAGAAGATTTTGCTGGATTGGTCCTATGGTTTTTACCTTGATTTGGGGTTTTCGCGTTAAATCTGGTGTATCTTGTTGATGTGTGGATCGATGTAATTTGCTGCAACTATTGTCATTTCCTCCATTTATATGTGTGATGCATATGTTTTCCTCCTGCGAATAGGTTGAGACCAATGGTCTGATTTTAGGTGTGCTGAAATTAAGCGCTTTCGCTATCACTAGCAAGTGAGTTACCGTGGTTATCCCAACATAACTGGTATCGAAGCCTAATTGATTGTTGGAGATGATATTCTCACTTTGGCAAATAGAGGACAGCAACACCCCCAAATGATATGATCAAGCTTGATGCTTCAAATTATTCTTTATAGAAGTCCATGATGGAGGGTTTGCTTTATTGCAAGGGTTTGTATGAGCGAATTGTGAGAGACAAAGTACCAACTGGAATCATGGAGGAAGATTCGAGAGTATTAAATCGGAAGGAAGTAGGTATGATTCGTTTGCACATCAACCGCAATATTTTTCACCATTTTGCTAATGATACAAATGCGTTTGAGTTGTGGTAAAAATTAGAATCTATGTATGAGTGGAAGACAACAGTTAACAAAGCCTTGGTGATAAATCAGTGTGCAAAGCTAGAGTACCGAGACGGCAACAGTGTTATTCAACACTTGAATGTCTTCTAAGGCCACAAAAATCAGCTGACAGCCATGAAGATAAATCTTGATGATATAATGCAGCATTGTTATTGTTGAGCTCATTATCGGACAGCTGGAACATACTTGTATCACTCAGCAATTCAGCTCCAAATGGTAAGCGGACTCCTGATATGGTGAAGAACAACCTGCTGAATGAGGAAGCCAGAAGGAAAGAAAAGGGCACCAATGTGTCATCTTCTTCTGATGCATATGTGGCTGAAAAGAAAAAAGAAAATTATGGTCGAAGCCAAGTGAAATTTTAGCGATGCAGAAGTAAATATAGGAAGAGATCACAGCCAAGTTCAAGCAACAAGATTATTTGCTTTCATTGCGAAAAGGAATGCCAGGAAAGAAATCAGTGCAAAATTTATAAAAGAGAGCTTGCACAAATCGAGACCGACAAATTAGATGGGAATTGGTTATCCTTTTCTAAAAATCATCGAAGCATCAGATGTTTTCTTCCCTCCCTAGGGCCAAAGGTGGAATCGCATGGTTACAAATATATGGAGTACGTGTGTTATGAAGTCGCACATTTGCGACATGGTACTGCAAACTAGTAGAGCAGGATAGCTTGATCAAGGCAGAGGAGCGAGGAGGAAGAAGAGAGAGAACTGGAATCATCACGTGGCCAATGCTCTGTCAAAGTATTGCATCTACATTTCGGCTTATTCAGGAGCTTAGGCAAAATACATGAAACGTTTCTTAGCTAAAACATTTCGCTCATAACCCGTTTAGTGCCGTTCCACATGACTCTCGTGAGAATCGGAATCGATTCGATCAACCACATGGCTCCTATGTCTACAGGAACCAAGGTACATAGAGATGTAATATGTATACGATGGAGAAAGAAGATGCATAGCAAAAAAAAAATCTGAAAACTACTCCCTCCGTTCCTGTATACCAGGCGCACAAGCCCCGATTACGGATACCAAGATGTACACGGAAATATGTGAAGTGCATTTACTACGTACGTCGTGATTAGCACCGCGCCGCCGGTCACGAAGCCATTCCTCGTCCTGTTCACTTGATAAGCCATAGCTGAAAGTATCGTTGGTTGATTTGTTGTGAGATAAAACTATTATTCGATAGTTAGAAAAATATGGATTATAAGTCCATTGAAGCGAAGAGGGGGCTTATCCCGCGCTAGCTTGCATTGCATGGAGTGAACAAGTACTAGCTTGCATGCAGCGACGTCCACGCTTTAGCTCCTGCTCACGCAGCATGCAGCTGCATCGCTTCTTTATATGACGTACGCCTCGGCATACATGCTCTATAGTCATGACCTATGCTACATCTACATCCATAAATACACCTAGAAAATATAACAACATCAAAACGGATGCACCAGATTATCTCTTAACAATTCTCTCTCATTACTTATCCAAATTCGACAACTCACGTTTAGGGCCTCTTTGGCACGGCTTATGTCGGCTTTGGCTTTATCTATTTTGCGCAAATCGAGGCACTGTAGCGTGAAGCATTTTTGTAAGCCGGGGTTAAAATAAACTAGAAGCCGGAAAAAACCAGTTTTTCGGCTTCACCGGCTTTGACTTCACCGGTGAAGCCGTTTTAGATGAGCCATGCCAAAGCGAGGCTTTAGTGTGTCTGCCCTCCATCGCCCTCCTGCAACCAGCCGCCCACGCCCCGCCCATGCCACGCCGCGCCCTCGCTCCTCCCCGCATCCCGCACGCCCCTCCCTCTCCCGCATCTCGATGAGGAAAGCAGCCCTAACTATGGTGTTCCCCACGCCGCCAGGCCGCCGGCCGCCACGTCGGGTCGCGGTCATCCTCTCCCCTGAGGACGCCACCAGGTCGCGGCCGTCCTCTCCCCCAAGGGCGCCACCAGGTCGTGGCCGCCAGGATGACGGCCACAAGTGCGGGCGCCACCAGGTTGCGGCCGCCAGGACGAGTGGACGACGGCCACAAGGGCAAGCGCCGTGGGCGTGATGCTCCACATCGCGGCTGCATTCAGCTCCCAGGTCACCGCAGGGAAGGTGTATGCCAGGTTTTGTCAGTCTCGTCGCGTCCTGGTGCCTGGTTTTGCACAGATTTGACTATGAATTAGCTTGGTTGTGAACGTTGGTGCAGGGGGTTGGTGGTTGTGGCATTTGATCGGAACCTGCAGGTGTACCTGGAACTCATGCGCCGCGCGTGCAGTAGCCAACTGATGCATCGTGGATGCCCACACTACTTAGCACTAACTTGCAGAATCGTCTCCTCCAAATACCAGACCTGCGCTGCCTTCCTTCGCTTCTCCTTGATGCAGACAAGGACGCCACGCCGTCACTGCCGTGGGGAAGAAGGTAAGAGCGTCTGCTGACGCTGCGCAGCTTCCCCGTGCCCCTGTGCTCCCTCCCGCACCATAGAGCACGCCACCTAATGCCCCTGCAGCTGCGAGCGACGGCGCCATGGATGACACCCACCGTATGCTCGATCAAATGACTGCAAGGTTTAGTTCTCTTCAGAGGACGTTTCTTTCTCTAATGCAAAACTTTGGTCTTTGATTCATTAGAACATACTAAAATATACTAAAGTTTTACACCATTGCTATGTTGAAACACCTCTCACTACTGAAACAGAGACTTTGCCGAGTGCAAAATTCTTTACCGAGTGTCAAAAATCGGGCACTCGGCAAAGGCCTTCTTTACCGAGTGCTGCACTCGGCAAAGAGTTCTTTGCCGAGTGCTGGACACTCGGCAAATGACTTCTTTGCCGAGTGCCAGACTCTCGGCAAAATCTCTATACTCGGCATAGGCTGCCCGCGAAACGGCGTTCGGTCACGGCCTTCTTTGCCGAGCGCCTGCTGTTAGGCACTCGGCAAAGATTTATTTTTTTTTTAAATTTCTTTGTCGAGTGCCCCAGATCTGGCACTCGGCAAAGATTTATTTTTTTTTAAATTCTTTGCCGAGCGTCTCAGATCTGGCGCTCGGCAAAGAATTTTTTTTTTAAATTACTTTGCCGAGTGCCCCTGTCACGGCACTCGGCAAAGATTTAATTTTTTTTTATAATTTCTTTGCCGAGTGCTCCTATGGATGCACTCGGCAAAGAGGAAATTTTTTAAAAAAAAATTTAAAACACTCTTTGCCGAGTGCCTTATTCCTGGCACTCGGCAAAGACCCCATTGCCGAGTGCCATGCCCCGGCACTTGACAAAGTTTTTTTTGTTTTTGGCCTCCAATTTTTTTTGCAGACCTTTTAAAGCACCAGGAACTTCTAGTTACAATTTTCGGATTTTTTGTGGCTTTTTGATATATTTAGTTACTTTATTTCGTTTACTTGAATTTTTTCGGAAATTAGAAATTTGAACTGCACGTGGTACGAATAATGGAGTTTAATGATTTGAAAATTGATAGTCATGTTAGTGAGTGTTGTGAGAGGCCGTATCCAGGAATGGACCCGAAATTTTAGACATCTTGTTCACGAAACATGTCCGCGAAATTGCCTGTGAAGTGTTTTTAAATTCTATAAAAAACAAACGAAGTTCGAAAATCATGAAACTTGTTGAGATATCGTGATATCATATGTGGAGGCTATGATAACAATTTTAGAAGATTTTGTGCACGTTGTCACGTACGATGCTTACACCAGGATATCTCTACATGTGATATCTGATATCACATGCAGAGATGTCCTGGTTTGTAAGCATCGTACGTGACAACGTGCACCAAAAATTCTCAAATTTTTATCATAGCCTCCACATATGAGATCACGATATCTCAACAAGTTTTATGATTTTCGGACTTCGTTTGCTTTTTATAGAATTTATAAACACTTCGTCCGCAAGTTCGTGGTCATGTTTCGTGAACAAGATGTTCGAAATTTTGGGTCCGTTCCTAGATACGGCCTCACACTACACTCAGTAACGTGAATATCATTTTTTGAATCATTAAATTCCATTATTCGATGTACGTGCAGTTCAAATTTATATTTTTCGAAAAAATTCAAGTAAACGAAATAAAGTAACTAAATATAGCCAACAGTTCGGAAAATATACCAAATTTTAACATGGAGTACCAAGTACTATAAGAGAACTATAGAAAAAATTTGGAGGTCAAAATACCAAATAAATAGTTTGCCATGCTCTTTGCCGAGTGCCAGCCGTCAGGCACTCGGCAAAGTGTTCTCTTTGTCGAGTGTCTGTGGTCTGCCACTCGGCGAACCGGCGTCTTTGCCGAGTGCTAGATCGGGCCCATCCGCACTAGACAACCGGCCACCGAACCCTCCCTACCACACGCAGTCACGCACGCACGCACGCCGCCGTGCCCCGCCCGCTCACCCGCCGGTGCGCCGCAGCCGCAGCCGCAGCCACTCCCCACGCCCGCCGCAGCCGCAGCCCCTCCGCGCGTGGCCAGCTCGCCCACGCCGGCCCGCCAACGCCGGCGGATGGAGGAGGGGAGGAGGAGGAGGGGGAGGAGGCGAGGAGGAAGCGAGGAGGAGGAGGGGGTTCCTTCCTCTTGTCCTGCCGGCACCGGCAGCTAGCCATGGCCTCGAACGGGAGCAGCAGCACGGTGAGTCCGGCAACTCCTCTCTTGTCCCCGGATCGGGCCAGGTATCGGCCGACGCTGGCGGGTTCCTTTGCGTTTCCGTATGATTTGAGCTGGGATCTCACCGGGAGCTGCTGGGAATTTCTCTTGCTCCTCGCTCTTGCGTCGAGCTGACCGCAGGTGGTGGGCGAGATGCAGAGCAGCTTGGACCGGGTGCGGCGCCAGCTCTCCTCCACCTCCACCCACCACCTCCTCCAGGGCCCTCTCTTGAAGCGATCCGACACGGTAAATCCACTCCCTTCATTTCCCTTTCTTTCTGGATTTCCAGTTTGGTACAGGTTCCCTGTCTCGATGTCAATAGAAATTACTGTAGGAAACAGCTAGAAAGCCAACCTGTGCTGTTATTGCTGACGCTTGGATACCGTTGCGAGCCTCTATTTAACATCTGTTTGTTGTTTACCTGTCAACTGTCATTTCCTCTTATTTGCAAATTCAGTTCCTTGCTAGTGTAGCCGTGTATAAACCATCTAGTCTATGTGCGACTTCTGAGGTGTTCTCATTATCATAGCATTGCTATTTTTGTTTGGATTCCACGTTGTCGCTTCCACTTATGATGTTTCTTCTTTTTACTCATATATATCAGCTAAGAAAGTGGAATGAGCGCTGGGTCATACTTGATCCTACAACTGGAAAAATAGAATACAAATACTGTAACTGCAGAGTTGTTTTCCTTTTTGCCAAAGAGGCGGTACCTGAAACGCCAAATGAATGACACCAAATTTTTTGGATGATGTAGGGTCCATAGGAGTGACAAAGATGTTAGGGGAGTAATCGTGTTTGATTCGACAAGCACAGTGACACTATCGCCTATGAACTTCCAGTATGGACCTAATTCTATTCTAGTCCGTCATGACTTTTGGATATACGCTGTGGAAACTTTGTAATGACCTGTGCAAACACTTGGTGCAGTGGACTGGCAAAATACGATGGATGCTGTTTCTGTATCCTTATGGGGTATCTTTGTGTTATAATGTTTCCTCTCTTCTCCTTTTGTCTAGATTTGATTCGCTGCGTTCTTTGACTAGTGTTCTAGATATTGGAACTCCACAGAAAAAGGAATACTTTCTTTGAGCAGAAACTCCCAGCGCTGCAAGAGCATGGGTATCCACTTTACAGTAAGCTTTGATAATCTACGGTTCTTGATTATATTTATCTTTTTAACTTTTGTATTCCCTGAAACCGGTTTTATCCTGAACATGAGTTTTGCATTACTGTTGGATTATCTCTTCCCTGCCACTGGACTGACTAAGATTAAATGAACATTAATTGAATATATGTTGAATCTGCTATTTGCACTTGTACAACTGGGTCTATAGTGGGTTGCTGTTTGATTTGTTCCCGTAAGTGTCAGTATTGGCAGAACTGAAAAGCGGAAAAAAATAGAAAACCATATTAGTGGACTACTCCCTTTGTCCTGGATCCTAGATATTTAAGACAGATTAAGAGAAATTTCAAAAGACCCATGCATCCTTGACTTAAACTCTGCTATTTAGTTGATGCATATATGGTGGCTGTGGTTGGTGAATTTAGAGAAGGCCTTGCTCAACTACCGCACACATAATGGCAAATCACGCAATTTTTTACGGGTAGGTTTATTTAAATGGAAATTCATGCAATTTACTCATTAATGAAAACATTTGAATGCTTTGATCCATTGTATTCTAGGATGGAGGGAGTAGACTTTCATGGGTAAACACTAGAATTAGCAAATGTGAAACTCCTTGTTATTTTATTGTGTAATTTCTAACCAGAATCAGAAACGTTGAAAATTTTGCTCTATTTGGTGCTCTACTATGGTATTCTCATTAGCTGACCTGGATCACTGCTCACCACTTCCCCAATGATTAGAAAAGCTTCCTGTAAATAGTTAGTGCTACTGGCGCTCTTGTTCCAAAGTGAAACAAAGAAACAGTTGCTTGTAGCATCTTGCAAAGCAAAGGGTTTCATTTGGTTCCCTCATTGATAATGTTACTTGGTTGCCTCAGTATATATAATATCCCTTCCCTTCAATTTCGTTTGGTTGATGTATGATATGTTCGATGTGCACAGATCTATCATTTCCCATTTTGTGTACTGCTGTTATATCTGCAGACCTTGAAGCCTAATAATATTTTCTTGCTTCATATGCAGTGCGACTCAGTTGGTACTACAGGCTCATAAGGAGGCCGTAATATTTTCTAATGCTTATTAGTTAAAGTGTTATAGACTAGATTCAGACCACCATGAGAATGTTTCATGTCAATGAAAATATTTGAACTTGTCTGTATTTTTGTTTCAGTTAAGGGAATCGGAGGAGAAAGCAAAGCTTCTTGTTGAAGAGAGAGATCGTTTGCTAACAGAGAGAGATTCTGCTCTTCAAGAAGCTCAGGTGTGGTGCTCAAAACTAGGAAAAGCTAGAGGAAATGCTGTAATTCTAGAAGCAGCTGTTGTCAGAGCTGAAGAGAAAGCTAGGTGTGTGTACAACTGTGTTGAGCGTGTGTGTGTATACCTGAACTTTCATGTTTAGAAGATCATCTTTGGCAATTTTTTTCTCTCTCATTCAGGAAATTCTTGTTGTATCCTGCAAACTGGTATTGGATGGATGTGATATGTGCGGATGGATGTGTGGATAAATGAGATATATATGTGATGGATGAGATATATATGTGATATATATTTGTATGAATTTATTTGTCATGATGGAATGTAAAAAAAAATTAAAAATTGTCGTTTTGGGCCACTTTGCCGAGCGTTGCACTCGGCAAAGGACCCCTTTGCCAAGTGCTATGGTCACAGCACTCGGCAAAGCTGAAAAAAATGGGCGCCCAACAAACCATTTTCTAGCTTTGCCAAGTGCTGTGACCATGGCACTCGGTAAAGAATTTTTAAAAAAAAAATTCAAACTTTGCCGAGTGCTGGACAGAGGAGACTCGACAAAGAAATTAAAAAAAAATAAAAAAATCTTTGCCGAGTGCTGTGACCATGACACTCGGCAAAGAAATTTTTTTTAAAAAAAAATTCAAACTTTGCCGAGTGCCGGGCAGAGAGCACTCGACAAATAAATATAAAAAAATCAAATTTTGCCGAGTGCCGGCCAGAGACCACTCGGCAAAGAAATTTAAAAAAAAATAAAAAAAATCTTTGCCGAGTGCCTGAAGGTTTGGCACTCGGCAAAGAAATTTTGTAAAAAAAATTAAAACTCTTTGCCGAGTGCCAAGGCACTCGGCAAAGAAAATTTAAAAAAAATAAAAAAAAAATCTTTGCCGAGTGCCTGAAGGCTTGGCACTTGGCAAAGAAATTAAAAAAAATAAAATAAAAAATCTTTGCCTAGTGTCTGAAGGGTTGGCACTCGGCAAAGAAATTTTTTTAAAAAAAAATAAAAAATCTTTGCCGAATGCCTGCAGGGTTGGCACTCGGCAAAGAAATTCTTTTTAAAAAAATAAAAAATCTTTGCCGAGTGCCAAGTGACCATCAACGGGACCGGCGCCGTAACGGTCGCTTTTCTTTGCCGAGTGTCACTGGGGCACTCGGCAAAGCCTTTGCCGAGTGCCCGATAAAAGACACTCGGCAAAGAGGACTTTACCGATCAAATTTTTGCCGTGTGTTCTTTGCCAAGTGCAAATTGGGCTTTGCCGAGTGTCTTAGGCACTCGGCAAAGAACCTGAATCCAGTAGTGTCTCATGCTTAACATGGAAATTTTATCTTGCATCACTGAAATCTTCCGCTCGGCCATGCCTTGTTCTAATTGATTAAACAACCTTGGTTGCTGAATTTTGCAGAACGAAAAAAAAGCACTGAAGATTAAAAATGTTGCATCATTACAGTGCCTGGGCAACGCCATATGAACTAGGATGGACAGATACTGTATCAAGTGCATTTTTGAAAGAACTCATAAAATCATTTGTGTTGAACTGTTGATGGCATGATTCAGCATATGAGCAATGATATAATACAATGGCTGTCAGATCTTGTATATTAAAAAAATGGTGATATAATCATTTAAATGTTCAGAGCTCACTTTTGTCCTTTGCTGCTGATTATGCATCTTTAATTTTACCATAATTCTGGAGGATATATGATTGATTATATCACGATTGCAGGGCAAAGCTACTGATCCTTTAGTTGGAATTTCTCAACATGGAAGGAACACAAGTTGAGTTCCAAGCGTTGGCCAAGATTTTCATGTGTGCCTTTGCAAAGGATCACAGTTGTTTGAGCAATGGATATCGCTGTTCCTTTTTCAGCACAATATACTTGCAATTATTGATAGCCTCAAAAATGTTGATTATGATAGCTAAATCAATATTATTATGGTTACATATAAGCTGAAGCATCCTTATTTAGTATAAGTGGTCTCTTTATTATACATCTAGGCGTATCCTCATTAAAGTTCAGCAAGCTCTCCCCTGGCCTTGGGGCTGTTGCACCAAAAATAGAAGGTTGCTCAAATGAAGAAAAAATTGGTGTTAATCCGACAGTTACATGTTTCCTAAAATCTTTGTACAACAAATGGCATTCTCTGTATTATTCTTGCATATAAAACCATGATTGCTTGTTATATCAGTACCTACATATCATTTACCAAGCCAACTTATATTAATAATTCCAGCATAAATGAACCAAAAAAAGGGATCGTCCAAATTTATTTGTTCAGACTCAGTGTTAGAGATCATATGACAAAGTTCAGACTTCACTTTGGCGTCAAATGGGGTGAGTATCCAAAAATTATTCTTGCTGTTCAAACCCTTCTTACTTCACTTTCCATTCAGGTTTCCAGATTGGAGTACAAGACTGGCCATTCAGGTTTCCATGATATTTGTCTTCTTCTCTACTATAATGGACCAATCAAAATTATACTAGGTCCCCCATGGAAAACGTCCCCCGCTGAGAGCTTTCAACCATTATGCACCCAGGAAAATGCACACATGAATTCATCTCCATTAAAATCAAGAGCTAATAAAACACCTAAATCAAATCCGATGGCCACGATTCGATGTGGGATGCCAGGCTTCTCACGCATCCACACGCCGCACGCCGACGCCGCGCCCTCGCTCATCCCCGCATCCCGCACGCCCCTCCCTCTCCCACAGACGTGGCTCCTCCACCCCCCACGCGTGCGCGACTCGTCACTCTCCTCTCCCACCAGGCCGTCGACCGCCAGGCATCGCGGCAACCAAGGCCGCCCGGCGCGGCCAGAGACGAGAAGAAGTCCTCGCTGCCGACCATGAACGCTTCAGTGGCATCCGCTCCTCCATCGCCGCCGCCGGCGGCTAGGGTTAGGGTTTCAGGCAACGGGGAGCAGGCCTCCAAATCCAACGGCAGCAGGCCCAGTCACGGCGTGGACAAAAAATCCATGGGCAGCCCCGAGTGCTGGGGCCGTCGGCCGCTAGACCGGGCAGCAGAGCCGCGGGTGCCGTCGCGTCGCGCGGGCTCAGCGCTGCTGGGCTGGATGGATGCACTTCGGCCAGTCGCAGGCTTGCTTGCCTGCTCTTCCTCCTCTTCGGCCGCCCCTAGAAAAATCTCACCATTCGAGAAGCCCAGTGCCATGGTCAAGAAGGTCCGTGTGGAGTTGCAGCTCGAGGGACAGGGCACCACGGTCCTGACACCGGCAGGTAAGTAAAAGCCAGCCAAGTCCCAATTTCATTTGTGTCGATCCTCAATCGGGCATTGACTTCTCCTCGGCACCTTGAGCATGCAGGGATGAGCTCAGGGAAATGTCGAAATTCCCTAACGGTGTACGGACCGTTAGGGAAATGTAAAACACCATCAAGGAAATTTAAAAGTAAATTCCCTGACGGTGAACCGCCAAGGAATAACCGTCAGGGCTGGCTCGACAGGGATAATGCTATTTCCCTGACGGTGTACCGTCAGGAAAATACGATTTTAATTTCCTGACGGTGGATAACCCATAGGTTAATTGCAAAACCGTCAAGAAAAATCTTTTTCCTCTGACGGTAGAAATCGTCAAAAAAAAAAATGGATTACCGACAAGGAAATAAAATTCCTTGGCGGTGCAAAACCGACAAGCTATTATATCATTTACCCTGACGGTCTGCACACCGTCAAAAAATCGCTTTTTTCCTGCCGGTGCCTGTTTTCCCTGTCGATTTCTTCCCATCAGGGAAATATATTTTTCCTTATCGGTGGTGATTTCGGACCATCAGGAAAATTCTTTTCCCTGTCGGTGTTAAACCACCAGGAAAAATCACACCGACAGGAAAAAACTGACATACTGTTTTCCATATAATTTAAAACAGATATATTGAATATAATATACACTGAACCATGGAGACATATACCAAGATAAATACAATACACCATCATATATATATAGATTAGTCTAGCATAAATTCATTACATACATAGATGTCTTGTTTGCATCAACATTGATAAATACATGAGATGTCCTAATATTTAGCACCCATCTACCCAAAATAACTTCTCCAAACATTTGGCATCAACATAACTCCCTTCCACCACCGGTACTAGCTAATGATCAGTACTAGCCCAACAACCACACCACTAGTACTAACCTAAGTGTATGCAGAGGCAAACACTTCAAAAGAATATGAGCTAAAGGTTAGTACTAGCTCAACATCCACGCCACTAAGAACTAGCTGAAGGTTAGTACCAACCAAATTGTATGCAGGGGCAAACACTTCAAAAGAACAGGCTACACAGCCATTCAGTCTTCAGTGAGATCAGCACCAGCACCTGCACATGTGGCTTCATTATGATAGTTCTTGGTTTCCAATGCAGCTCTACTTCCACCATGGAGTCTTTCATTTGCTGCAACATCATCATTAGTCGATTCGGAACCCACATGAGATGATCCAGTCACCGGCTGCATGTGAAAAAGTAAAAGATTATTAGTCACCGGGTTGCATGTGTTTCAGTCAATATGAGTACAAGGCTAAAACATGTTCAGCTAAAAACAAAAGTTGTTTTCAGCTAAGAATGTTCAGCTAAGATGTTCAGCTGAAAACAAAAGATGTTCACCTAAGAATGTGTTACTGACCAAGGTATACATGTTCAGCTAAGAATAGTTTACTAATTATTTTAATACCACTAATCCAGAATCAGTTTAGCTAACAGAAATTGTGGTGCCCTATTTGCATAACATACTAATTCTTCCCAGTTCTTCAAAACCGAAAAAGTGTGAATTTCTACCTTACCACCAGATGTGAACATTGGAATCTCAGTGTAACATGATTATGTGATTCTGTGCAACTAAAGTCCATAGCTACAAAAGAATCAACATGAGCCACTTCCTCACTGGTGCACTGGGTACTGCCATGCTGAATACCAAAAAGCTCTAGTTAGGCTAACTGAAACATAGGAGCCAAATGCCTAAATTGAATGCCATACAAAGAAGAGTAAAATTCCCTTCACTTTGTTTATTTTCCATCTATGATTTATAGCTAATAGAATATTTTTATATACTCACAGTTGGTTGTGTTGTTGATAGAATGCTTAGTGCTTCCTCTGGAACTTCCTCGCCCACGCGCCGATAAAGTCGCTGCACAC